ATATATATATATATATATATATATATATATACAAACCCTTACCCTAGTTTGGTATCTGCGCGGTATCGAATGGTGAAGATAGCAGCTGGAAAGGCGAAGCACATAACAAACTTTGTGCTGATTTGTGCGTTATAGAAAGAATCATAGAGACGGCCTAATCTATGAGATAAATAAAATAAAGTATTATGTAAACAACGTCTACCGCAAGAAGCCATCTTCAGGGTTTATATAATAATAATATTATATAATATATAAAGAGTAAATATTATATATTTATTTTTTATTTAATTTAAAAATTTGCTTTATAATGATGTATTATACGTCGTGTTTTGTATGCATGCAATATAACTCATATGTTTATATATGTTTCTGCAGCACAGAGAAGATATACAAAAACACTACTACTAACTAACAAACAAAAGAGGGGTCAGGGCTTCAAACTTATACAGACAACACAAACAAATTCAGTGCATGCAACACTGCTGCTGCTGTTGTATTTATATAGGAAGAACGAGTGAGGGGGGCGGCCGCAGATGCTGCTGCTGCTGCTGCTGCTGTTGCTGCTGCTGCTGCTGCTGCTGTCTGCCGTTTGTTTGCTGCTGAAGAACCCTCAGGAGTCAGCTGTAAAATACTGTGGGAGAGTTTAAATGCTGCACTGCTGCAGCAGTTTCTGCTGCAGCTGCAGCAACAGCAGATGTGCTGCTGCGTGGGCGCCAGGGAGCAGGAGGAGCAGACGAAGCTCTCCCTTTCGTCTCCGTGGATGCTTTGGAATTTAAAAATAATAAAAGAAGAAAATAAAGCAAAATACAGAAGCTGAGGTTTCTGAGTGATTGCAAACCCCCTGTGCGTGGCTCTCATGCAACACGAATGCGGTGTATGTACACCTGGCGGCGACGCATCGGGGCTTTCTTTCTGCCCGGTAAAAACATGAATGGAAATTTTTTTCTAAAAAAATTAAATTTAAATGTTTTATTGTGATTTTTTATGTTTTTTATTCATGAAATAGTCAAATATCGTCGCGAATACCCCTTTTTTTGCCCCCAATTCGCCGCAGGTTTCCAGCTGTTTCCGCCCGTTTCGGCGGCGTCATCAGAAAGCGAAACCTCAACGATCCTCCATTAAAACTCATCTTTTCGTGTTTCTAGCTTTCTTCTCTCTCATTAAAATACTCTTATTCAACTAAAAACCTAAATATTGAACCCCAAACCCTAAACAATCACCGCTATAATCACTCTAAACCCTAAACCCTAAACCCTAAACCCTAGGCCGTACACGCGACGCTCACACACCCTCCTACTCCTACACAGGGCTTCAGCAGCACCTGCTGTCTACTACAACCACAGGCAAATTACGCAGACAGCAGCAGCTATTCAACCTAAACCCTAAACCCTAAACCCTAAACCCTAAAAACCCCCCCGAGGCTCTGGCTAGACAGCAGCATCACCTTCTTCTTTTGCTGCTCCTCCTTCACTGCATGCATTTCAAGCGCATACGCAGACAACACCAGCTGCTGCTCCAGCAGCAGCAGCAGCAGCAGCAGCAGCAGCAGCAACAACAGCAGCAAGAGAGCAGCAGAACTGCCAGTTGATGCGTATTGATTCTTTCCTCTTGGGTTGTTTATATTTGTGTTTCTGTTGTGGTGTATAGTATTTCTTTATCTATAAATTTATTCTGAATTGAATGCATATAAATATATAAACATATATATATATATATACAAATATATAAATATTACATAAACCAGGCAAATGGCTGCAGCAGCAGCAGCAGCAGCAGCAGATATAGCAGGTGGATATGATCATCTACTTAAGCTGCTGCTTATAGGAGATAGCGGCGTGGGTAAGAGTTCTTTGCTGCTTCGATTCACAGAAAACAAATACGACGAACAGCAGCTCTCTACCATAGGTACGTTATACTATCAACAGCAGCAGCAACAGCAGCAGCAGCAGCAACAGCAGCAGCAGCAGCAACAGCAGCAGCAATAGCAGTAGGAGCAGCAGCAATAGCAGTAGGAGCAGCAGCAA